TGAGGAACTTTAAAAAGCAAAGCGAGGGGGGGAGGGGGGGGGGGGGAGTTGAGTTCTGCCCCGGGCGACTGTAGCTCTGGTTACGCCACTGCTTGCAATGCCGACTTCCTGTAATTGTGCAACAAAATTGCGCAGCTCGGCGCGTCTGCAACAGTTTAGAAAGTAATTTTCAAACTTGCAGCTGAATTTCTCGCTATCTGTGATATTGATGACGGACACATATTGATCGGCTTCCTCCTGAGATCTGATATTGATTATGATTATTGATCCCTCATCTATATGAAGACTTCGAGATCTCCATGAAATCTATAGAAGTCCCTGTGTGTGGACCCCTCACCCCGTGCCCCGGGAACTCACCTTCCCTCCCCCATCCTCCGTCCGGTCTCCACTCTCACAGGAGACACTTTTTGTTGTTTATGATGTTTTTTTATAGTACGACGGAGCCATTTATAGAGGCACTTCTGGCGACGCGCGATCAGCTGTGTTCCCACGCATGCGCTCCGCATTCTGATGCGCTGATTGTTAGATCTGTCCCGAGTGTTTAGAGCGCAATAACGATCGCATATTGTTTTAGTATAAATCCGCGCTCGACGGGGCATCTAAGATGTCAATTAGAAGCTGCCGCACTATAGATGACGAAGGTCCAACGAAATGTTTTACTAGATATACAGCGCTAAGAGTTTAATTCATGTTGGAAGGAACGGATCTAACTCCGTGATAACTCATCTACAGTGCGTACATCTAATATCCGTCATGTGACTATGAATGAAGGTAAAGGAGAAGTATGGGGTCAGGGCTTTCCCCCATAGATCTCCTTAGGGTAACGGGAGGACACAAACTAGCGTCCTCCCGTCACCCTAGGCTCAGTATATAGGGAGCTACAGCTCGCGGTATACTGAGACGCCGCAGCCGGAGCGGATCCCGATGAACACCCCCCCCCCCCCCCCCCCTCATAGTTCTCCTTTAAATTTCTATACTTAATCCGCAAGTAATAAATAATCATACATGACCCTAAAGCCCCGTTCACATTGACCGATTTATCGCGCTCCAATGCATTTCAATGGGGCAAAGGGTCCTGCTGTCGTGTGTCGCTACAGCAGGACCCTTTTTGGAGCGGATTTAGCCGCGATTCAGGCTTGCTCGATGCAAGCCTGAACGCGATATCGCGCGGCAAATCTCGCGATATCGCGCAATATGCAAATCGCCCGACAAACGCGCGATTTGCATATCGCGCAGTGGGAATGGGGCCTTAGGTACTGATATCTCACATGGCCACGAGGGAGCTCCAGCCACATGTACATTGCTTATACTGTCGCTCCTTTGCGTGTCCCGTGGAGGTGCCTGGACCGGAGTGACGTCACATTCTGGCTCCCGGCACATCTACAGGACACGCATGGGAGCTGTGCAAGCAATGAACGGAGCTCCAGCGCAGCCGCCCACACTGCCGTGCGTTCCATTGCGATACGACTCGGGTGGCAACTTAACGACCGAGGACGAATGTGGGTCCTGAGGTGACGCAGGTCGAGAAACGCTGCTTTATAGTGAGCATAGACATCCAATAATAGAAGACACCACACTAGATGTCCTCCTACACACGCACCGGAGAGAAATCGTTCAGGTGTGCGTCAATATGCCGCAATCTCTATTACGCGGTCACCAGATCCCTCGCTACTTCATTATTAATCGATTCAAAAACAAAGAAAAACACTTGAAAACAGCTCATACATCCAGAGGCGTAACAATCACCATAGCGACCCAGGCGGCCGCCATGGGGCCCCGGGCACAGTCGGATGCTGTGCGGGCCGCCTGGGTCGCCATGGCGTCTTATGCTGGCAGGCTTTCACTGGCGGTTCTGAAGAAGAATGCGCCGCTGTTCGGATCGCTGACAGTAATCTGCGCAGCGGCGCGTTCCTCTCCAGAGCCGCTGCGGAGTCAATGAGAGCCGGCGGCGGTGGAGGAGGCCGGACTTGGCAGGGGAGGAGAAAGCGGGGCCTCTGATCGGCAGCATGGGAGGAGGCAGGGGGCCCCCGTGACTGAGAAGGAGGCGGGCCTGGCGACCGAGGCGGGGCCCATCAGCGAGCGTGGAGGAAGAGGAGGCGGACAGGTAAGGAGTTGCGACCAGCCCACCTGAGGGTGACCCTGCAGAGCCCAACATAGAGAGTCTATGGTGGGCTCTGCAGGGTCACCCTCAGGTGGGCTCTGCAAGGGGTATAACTAAAAATCATGGGGCCCCCATACAAAATGACAGCTGGCTCCGCCTATCTAGAGGCAGAGCCAGCTGTACCCGCCCCGTCCGTTACGCTAGTCAGCGCTGGCGGATCGGAGCGGGGAATCCAGCCCCTCCCCCTGTCACGGCTCTCTGCAGGGACAGGATTGAGAAGTGCGCGAGCGCCGGTATGTGTTCCCGAGTCTCATTGTCACACGTCGCCCCGAACTATGAGGAGGAGTGACAAGCCCCTCCCCCTCATAGTTCTCCTTTAATAAACAGTTTCAATGGAAGTCTATGTTCAGCCCCTTTGGCGGCCATGGTGTCTAACATGAATATCCTTCGACTAGGGATGCACCGATACCACTTTTTTAAGACCGAGTACGAGAACCGATACTTTTGATCAAGTACTCGCCGATAACAATTACCGATACTTTTTCTTAAAGGGACAGGTCACATTTTTTCTAAAGCAATACAAACTAATGATTTAAGGTCAGTTTCTTAATATTACGATTCATGAGATGACGAGGGAGCATGACGCCGGCTTCCCGGCCAATCAGAATGCCGGGCGCTGCGTCATTACACGGCGCCCGGCTTCCGGATTTGCTAGTTTCCTGACCGATCGGGAAGCACGTCATTGCACGCTGCCCGGCTTCCTGATTGGCCGGGAAGTCGGCTCCATGCTCTCTCATCACAAGTGACGAGAGAGCATGGAGCCGTTTCCCGGGCCAATCAGGAGACCGGGCAGCGTGTCATGACGCGCTGCCCGGCTTCCTGATACAGGAAGTACTCGTGCTAGGTATCGGAGCATTGGGGCGAGTACGAGTACTCACCTACATACTCGGTATCGGTGCATCCCTACCTTCCATTCATTTTGGGAAATCTTAGGAGCTAAGTTAGTACCCCTCCGGTGTCTCTCCGCTCTGCCGATCCCTGTTACCTTTAGAAGCTTCGGATCCCTGTTATGGGGAAATTCTATGATGTGGGGGAGGGGCCGCGCTCATTGAAGCCATTTTTTTATATTGTTAATTCAGGTAGCTGGGTTCAGGTAGCTGGGTTCAGGTAGCTGGGTCCAGGTAGCTGGGTCCAGGTAGCAGGGTTCAGGAAGCCGGGTTCAGGTAGCAGGGTTCAGGTAGCAGGGTTCAGGTAGCTGGGTCCAGGTAGCAGGGTTCAGGAAGCTGGGTTCAGGAAGCTGGGTTCAGGAAGCTGGGTTCAGGAAGCAGGGTTCAGGAATCAGTCAAGTGCAGGCGACGCAATACTGAGCCAGCTTCCTGACTGCAGTTAGGGCCTAAATACCCTCCCAGGAAGCACCGGGTGATGGGATGATCAGTCACAGCCGGGGCACACCCGCAGGTGAGTACTGGAGCTGCAGGTTCCTTACAGTTCCTGGCTGCTGGAGACACCCGCAGGCGAGCACAGGAACTGCAGGACCCGGCTCCAGCGCCACCTGGGGGTGCTCTGGATCCTGACAGTGACATAGGTACGTTACAAAGTTACTGTGACATGAAATTCATTTTATATTCCTTATTGGTCGTATTAGGACCTGGAGGAGGTCATCTTTTCTCTGGCCCCGCCCCCTGCCGTTCTACAACAGATACAATATCTGCCAGGGTGGAAAGCTACTCCATCAAACAAGGCGGCCTTCGGTTTAGGCGGATCAAGGACACTAATATCAAGTTAGGTGCCTTTCGATTCTACTATTTTGGGTTTATTAGGTAAGATCGGACCCAAGATCTTATCTCTTTTGTTTACTAATACTATATTGTTCTTATATTATTCAATATGCAGCTGTACATTTGGGATCTCCTTGTGTTTGAGGGAACCAGGCCCGGCGCTACCGCAAGGCAAGCGGCCGCCTGAGGGCGCTGCAGGGTGGGGGGCGGAAAAAACAGGGCATTTTGACAGGTACTTGTGCTTGCCAAAACGCCCCGATGCCCGCGCTATGTTTTTTTTCCACTTACCTTCGGCGCAGGAGAGCGGCGGCGAGTCAGCGCTGGTCCGGTGGGAGGAGCTCCAGGTGGGGGTCCTCATGTAGCTGGCCGCGCGTGTCGGGATCCTCTGGCAAGCAAAAGCGCGTGTCGGGATCCTCCCTGGCCAGCTAAATTAGGACCCCCAACCTGGAGCTCCTCCCACCGGACCAGCGCTGACTCACCGCCGCTCTCCCGCGCCGAAGGTAAGTGGAAAAAAAACATAGCGCAAGCAGGCCCAGCGCTACAGGGGGTCGGGGCGCAAAAATGCACCTTGCCTGTGTAGGCAAGAATCCTAGCACCGGCCCTGGAGGGAGCCATCTGTGTTTATGGAGACCCAGGAGCAGGAAT